GCGTCGACAGGACGATGGCAACTTATACGAACGAAGAGTACTACGACATGTTGATGGCACTTGGTGAGTGCCAGGGACAGCATAACGTTGCTGCAAGAAGATATGCGGAATTGTATCCGTATCGAGCAAAACATCCATCGCCCTTCGTTATACTTCGAGCAGCGCAACGATTACACGAGACCGGTAGCGTTTTGCCGAATAAAAAAGACTGCGGTAGACATCGCAATGAAAGAAATTTGCGAAATACGGAGACAGTTCTTCGTGTAATCGAACAAGAGCCTGAAACTAGTATTCGGGTCATTGCTCGAGAGCAGAATCTCTCTTACTCCACAGTACAGAGAATTCTGAAAGGAGAGAAGTTGCACGCTTATCATTACACCTGCGTGCAACATTTGCGAGAGGAAGACTATCCTCGGAGGAGAAGATTTTGTGAAGATTTTCTGAGGAAAGTAGACGAGGATCCAGAATTTCCGTCCCGAGTGATATTTAGCGATGAATCGCTATTCACACAAGAAGGAATCTTTAACTCTCACAACATGCACGTGTGGAGTGACGAGAATCCTTATGTCACTCGAATGAGAAATTTCCAAACGCGATGGAAATTAAATGTCTGGGCAGGAATCATGGGCACAGATATTCTGGGTCCAGTTATTCTACCAGATATCTTAAATAGCGCATCGTATTTGGAATTTTTAAGAGAAAACATTCCGGATTTTTTGGAAGAAGTGCCATTGGTAGATAGGAATAAAATTATATTCCAACAAGACGGTGCTGGACCACACAATGGCAGAATAGTAACAAATTATTTGAACGAGCAATTTCCTAGACGGTGGATGGGCCGATATGGCCCGATATCTTGGCCTGCAAGATCTCCGGACCTAAATCCATTGGATTTTTTCTTGTGGGGACACTGTAAAGAAATTATTTACAGGAAACTTCCCGAGGATGTAGAAGATCTTCATGACAAGCTCCATGAAGCCATTTGGGCTATCGACAACGATATCCTGGAGAAGACCCAAATAAATTTATTGAAACGCATGAGAGCGTGTGTAATAATGGACGGCGGCCACTTCGAACATCTGTTATGAAGATGCAGGAGATAATTAATCTGCCCTTTTCAGGGCACCAAATATTTTATATCGAGGAACATTCTCTTTTAGTTCGCAAGTTATTAAATTATCAAAAGCAAAAAAATGTAAGCTTACTTCAAGCTTACTTATTACTTATTAAAAATTGCATGAAAGAAAATTGATTGGTAAAGCCTTAAAAGTCAGAACGCGGCAATTCAATTGTATAAAAAAAATTGATTACTTTTATACAATTATTTATACAATTTTTAATAAATAATAAAGAACTTGTATTTAAAAATTTTTTCAATACATCATATTATCAATAATTTCATTTTTGAA